GCTTCAAATAATTGTTATATGCTTCCGGCTGAAGAAAATGGTTATGTTTCTCGAAGGGAGCGAGTGCAGAAAAAAGAGAGTAGTGGGCTGGGTAGGGGAAGAAGAACAAGAAATGGAATTGAGCATAAAAAACTGGCAGAAGAACAAGTTGAAGTAACTGAACATAGAGAACAGAGGCAGCAAAGTCAGGAGCCAGAGGTGATAGTTGATCAAAATGGATGCTCAGAGCAACAAAATGAACAACAAGATGAAGTGAATGGAGAAGTTGCAATGGTTGTGGCAAAACAGAAATATAAAGCGACTAAAGAACAATTTGAAATAACTGAACATAGAGAATGGACGCAGCAAAGTCAAGAACCAGAGTTGATAGTTGATCAAAATGGATGCTCTGAGCAACAAAATGAACAACATGATGAAGTGAGAGGAGAAGTTGCAATGGTTGTTGTAAAACAGAAATATAAAGCGACTGAAGAACAGGTTGAAGTAACTGAACAACAGAAAGAACAGGGGAAACAAAGTCAAGAACTGGGTCTACAAGAACAGCACAGTAAGGTGATTGACGATCACAGTGGACCTCCTGAGGAACAGCAAGACGAAGTGAATGGGCAAAAAACTGAAAAACAAATGCAAGAAGTTGCTGTGATTGTTGAAAAGCAGCACAATTCAGAAGAGAAATATAAAGCAACTGAAGAACAAGTTGAACTGATTGAACAGAGACAACATGGGCAGAATTGTCTTGAAACGAATCAAGGGCAAGATGAACTGATTGGACAACAAAGTCAAACTGAAATGCAAGATGTTGTAATGATTGTTGAAAAGCAGAATAATGAAAAAGAGAAATATAAAGTGACTGAAGAACAGGTTGAAATGACTGAACAAAGATTACATGGGCAACAAAGTCAAGAACTGAATCTACGCGAACAGCATAGTAAGCTGATTGACGGTGAGAGGGGATCTCCTGATAAACAGCATGATGAAGTGAATGGACAACAAAGTATAAATCAAATGGAAAAAGGTACAGTGATTGTTGAAAAGCAGAACAATTCAGAACAGAAATATAAACCAGTTGAAGAGCAAGTTGAAGTTACTGAACAACAGAGGGAACACAGGCAACAAAGTCAAGAACTAAGTCTAGAAGAACAGCTAAATATGGTGATTGACATTCAAAATGGATCTCCAGAGAAACCAAACGAACATGCTGATGGATCTCCAGAGAAACAAAATGAACATGCAGATGAAGCAAATGGGCAACAAATTCAAAAACAAATGCAAGAAAATGCAGTGAATTTTCGAAATCGGAGTAATGCAGAACAGAAATATAAAGTGACTGAAGAAAACATTCAAGCACAAAGGGATGAACTTATTGAAGAACAGTGTCAATCTGAAGAACAACAATGTGAAGTGACCAGAGAACAATTACAAATTGAAGGAATTGAAAGAGAGATTCAGTTACTAGAGGAACAAGTTGAAATAATTGAAAAGATGACTACACCAGGAGAGCATATTGAAATGATTTCTGAACAAAATAAGCCACAAGAGCAAAGTGAATTAATATCCAAGATCGTTGGTTCTCGGTCAGCCATTTTCCCTCTGTATTCAGTATTAGATGTGTTATGGGCTATTTTGCATGTGCCAGTCTTATTTCATAAACAGCAATATGCAGGAGTTATTATCAAAGAAGCAAGAGAAAGATGCAGCTACTGCGATCAATTCAAGCCCTTCTCTTACAAGTCAAAAACTGCCCCACCATGATTCATCATTTTTGTCTGAGGTAAATGTTGAAATGTGTACGTAATACAAAATGCAACCACTACCTATTGATTCAACTTATTTATGCCTGGCATGTTTGTTTTTGTATTTATTTTGATCAACAGGAAAATTGTGTAGAATTGTTGATGAGGACACGTAAGCTTGAGGAGAAGTTGTTGGAAAATCTGTCTAGCATAAGGGAGGGATCAAACCATAGCAGTCAGAAACCTAGTACAGACTTAGTGGAGTTATTTTCAAAGCATGGAAAGCTAGCCGCCCATGATAGTCAGCCGCAGATGCCCAAGTGCCAAAACAAATCAATTAACACTTGTCCTCATGTTGAATTGCCACAACAAAAGGAGATTGGAAACGTAGAAAGATCATTGAAACTGTTAACAATGGAAGCAGAGAATATCAGAGAAATATCCCGGCATGTTGGAAAGAAGACTTGTCTAAACTTTGAAGCAGAGCATGAGAAAGAAAAGCATAGTGCTACCTGCGATCCCAACCTTTGTTGTCAGCAGAAGCCGTCTGTCTCTCTGCAAGTTGCAAGTTGTGAGGATGTCCCCAAGCACTCACCAGACCAGGAACTGGAACGGAAACTGAAGAACCAGCAACCAGAACTTCAAAAGCCACAAAGACCAGAACTTCAAAAGCCACAAAGACCTCAAGATGTCGAATTACTGTCAGTTGAGGGAGGCTATAAGGCTCATGAATCTGAGCTAAACATTATGGACAGTTCTGTTGATTTGCTCCAGGCATCACAGCATCAGAAGAGGCAGCTGCGTCCTCGGCATAAAAAGACATCTGAATCTGGTTGTGGGGTGCCAAAGGCACGTAAATGCCAGGTAGCCGCCATGAGTTTTCTCTAGAATTGGTAGCTATCCCTCAATGAAGGGGACTGACTGCTATGGTTTCAGATTCAAGTGATTTAAAAAAAAAAAAAATTTACATATATTAACAACTATTGGTAGCCATCTCCTGTATATGTATTTTTTATACAGATATATATATATATATATGTATGTATGTATGTATGTATATATGTATATCCGTGTTGACCAATAGACGTTAATGTGACTCCAATTTCTTGTATGACCTAGGAACTTGAGAACGAGAAGCAGCCCAGAGAAGAAATACAGGATATGGGTATGAAGCTTGATCATTTTGCAGGTAAGCTGTCATTTCAAGCACAGAAAAAAACACAGGAGCCAGCACAGCAGAGGCAATTGCGTCCGCGGCGCCAAAGGCAGTCCAAATCTGAAGAGTCGATCACTGCATCGATGGTGGAATCACCACCCACAAGGCATCAGGATACCCTGATATCAAACCTTCAAGAAGCTGAAAAGCCTCAGGAGCTAAAGACATCAGCAGCGAAAACAGGCCCCACACAGCAGCAGAGGCAACTTCAACCTCGAGATAAAAAGCTGCCTGAATCTAGGGCAGTTCTGCCACCTTCACAATCTCTGGATGAGCAGTATCTATTGCTTTCAAACAGTGGAAGATCTCAAATGCAACAGCCGAGAGTGGATGATTCATCTCAACTGAAGAACCGACATCGACATGATGAATTGTCCCAAACAATAAAAGAGCTGCGGGGGCATCTGAAATTACAATCCCACAGCCAAGGTGTTTCACAATCTGATCCTAGCGTGTCCATGACAGAATCATCACCCTCACAGAACCTGTGTGAGGAACCCCAAGAAAAGATGCACCATGATGAATTGCAGCACCTGAAACATCAAAAGCATAAGAAGCCTCCTAGACCAAAAGAAAATGAACCAATTATGGAGGTTTTGTCCCCATCAGCTGACCAGCAGCCACAGAAGCGAGGGAGAGGGAGGCCTCCTAAAGCAAAACTGGCTACAGCTGCAACCAGCTATGCACCACTGCCTGCTAAATGCCAGAAGCAGAAGGAACAACCAGAAAAACGAAAACAAGGGAGGCCCCGTAAGTTGACAGCAAAAATTACTTTAGCAAAGATCAAATTGACCTTAAAGAACCAACCACAGCAACAAAAGCGAGGGAGGGGAAGGCCTCGAAAAGTGACTGAAGAAACCTAAGAAGGCAACTATGAATGTTTAGTTCTCTAATATCACTAGCATTGTAGTTCACCAGTTTGTAATATGGTTTAACTTGGTAGGATTTTTCCTCAGAGAAAACAAAGAATCATATTATGGTTTTAACTTATTTAGTAACCATGGAACCCTCAATGCTAGGTTGGTTCCAAACATATACCAAAATTTGTTCATGATCTTTCTGCAAGGGCTTGATGTTTTATTGTCTAAGACTTTGCATGATGACTTTGATGGCTGAACCTATGCGATTAAAGGAAGGTTTAATTTTCGCCCCCTTTCTACTCACCCCTTTCTGTCCAAAAAAGACGGATTCTAAGGTTTTTCCCATGTTAGAGAACTTTCCCCGCTGTCCTCCTTTCGACAGGGATCAGAAATATATGCATTGAAGGTTGAAATATTGGAGCTGCAAATTTAAGCATTGAGATCCATTGTCAAATAGTGAATTTATCAATCTTGGTTAATCAAAAGATGTTCTAGTAACATATTTTTCGAAAAAAATTCGAGTGCGTTCAGGTTTAGTGTTGAGTTTCTCTTATAAAATGCTTTTAAAATGTGGTGAAAGAAAAATTCAATACTAAATTTTATTTGTAACAAATCCACTTTCATTTTCACCACTGAAAGGGGTTGCCAAGATACCCTTAGTCGATTAATTCCACATTGTTCTTGGTGTTGATGTGCTTTGCATTTCAATAGACTTTCAGTCTAAAGAAGTTGCCAGGTTTAGCCATTCATCCCTCCTTAGCATGGGCATGGCTGGTTTCTTTGTTGTTCCTTTTCACTTTGTGTTTGTGAGGTATTTTTAAATATTTTTAAAGAAATAAGCATACAAAATTAATGAAATGGGGAAGCTGATAGTTTTTGTTTTTTTGTTTTTTGTTTTCTTTTGTATACAAGCGATATTCAGAAATGAAATTCGAATACTAAACCTCAAATTGAGGGGTCACTCTTCTTAATCGCTTGAACTACAAATTACAGATCCTCAGATAAAAGAGTCACTGCTCCATAAACACTTGAACTACAAACTCCTTTGAGGGGAAAATTGAGAGATAAAAAAACAAAGTTGAGTTCGAGTGTAGTGATGAAATTGTTGGGTGTGTTTAGCAACTCTAGGAAACAAACCAAAATAGAAGTTGTTTATGATGAATTGAAAAAAGAAATATGTTCTGATATGACACACACTCACTACAGACAGAGTGAAGTGCGCTCCTACCCTCCTTTCCTTTCTTAGCTTCTCTCTCTCTCTCTCTCCGAGCTGCGTGTCTGCGCTGTGTTTCTCTCAGTGGAAACCAACCCGACTTTATTCTATTATTGAACTTCACTTCTTTCCTTATTTTTTTTCCTTTCTATTTTCTTTCTCTTCTTTTCCTGATTTGAGTGCAGGATTTAATAAGCGAATGAAGCAGCCATTATTGCTGTCTTCCTGGGTTTTCTGGTCTCGCAACAAACATGGCCTTCTCTTCTTGCCTTTGCCAATCTCCACTCTCACCCAAGGTATGGTTTTTCCTTCAAGCTTCATTTTCTCTTACCTCCAATTAATTGGGTTTTTACTTCTTTTTTTCTTTCAGTGATCTTTTTCTTTAAAAATTGTAGTTGGATGGTAGGTTTGGATGAATTTCTGATCCACTTGAAATGGGTATCTGGTATAGTTTGAAATTCGTTATCTGTAGTCCATCCAATCCAAGATACAAGATCAGAGTTAGCATTTTGATCTATTTGTGCTAAACTTTCTTTCCATGTCAAAGGGGTGGTATGTTTTCCCAGCGTGGTTCCAATAATTTACAGATTGGGTCAACCGGCATTGTTACTCTCTTTGTTGGCTCTTTAATTTTTCAACCTGGAAACTTATTTAGAAATAAAAACAACTAATTTGAGTTGAAAAAATTAGTGATAATTGGTACATTGAATATCACTTATGATAGTTTAGAGCTCAGAGGGGTCATGAAAACCTTCTGCTGCAATTTGATGGGTTGCTCATGTAATTTTTTATTGTGCTTTTGCTGTCATTCTTCTATCTGTATTATTGAAGCATTATTGATCAATTAATTTTACTGTTTAACTGTGTAATGAGTTTGAAGTACAGGATAACTTGCGACTATTTTCATAAACAATCTCATGTTTAGCCACTGAGCATAATTTTGTACTGGTGGGCTTCTCTTACTATTTAAGTTCCGTTTCTGATAGATTGACTGCGGCAAGAAGATTGTCAGGCCTTGGAGTAGTGATGGAAGGAAACAAAGGTTCACTTTTTCACTCGGAAGTAATAGCACAGAACTTGTTGGTCAACAGCTTGTGACAGTGGGAGCTCACTTACACAAGCACTGGAGTTTTGTGGGAGGTTCAAGAGTTACTGTGAGACCAGAACTTGAGAGATCCATTCCACTTCGAAAAAGCTCAGGAGTATATGCATCATGTGATCCCTTCTCCCACTTTAATTCCTCTTAGTCATTTGTTATTATCATTTGTAACGTTGCATGGCTGAGTTAATTATACATTGGTAGTAACAGGTCTTCGCAGAGGTATGTGAGGGCAAAAGTCTGTATGAAGACCAAAGCATATATGCATCCCATGCATAAAATACTTAAGTGCAAGAAAACTGTGGAAATGGAAAAATCCCTAGCATGTTTTGGTAGAACTGAAATTCAAGTACCAACATATATGCAAAACAATGTGCAAGTGTTATATAAACAGAGAAAGTTACAACTAGCTTTGACAACTTTGGTCAGTTTTGTGAGAAAAAATATACTTATGAGTTCATATGTATGAATTTCAAATCGACTGACAATTGCAGCAACATTACAAAACAGTTTGCCTGTTAAACAATGTTCTTGTAACATCTAGTTGTGTAGTTCTTAAACAAATCTAGTATCTCTGTATTGCCCCCAATATTTTTAATTTTGACTATGAACTATAGTATAATGTGGTAGCCTCGTTGAAGGCTTTATGGATTTTGCATACATGAATGAAAGTTTTAACGTAGTTTTCAGATCCAATTTCTACCTGACTCTTGAGGTGTTATCCTTTCAGAGGTGTAAACATAAGTAAAGGTTGTTTTAGCTTAACACCTTCATTGTTCTAAAGCCATTGTAATAAAAAAGACAAAAATAAAATCTTACAAATGCATATCCTAACAATAGCATCCATTTAGTAATCCAGTATTTCACCCTGTGTAATGGTTGGCTGAGTTCTTCTAAATGTTTGAAGTTCCTTCTCTAATTTCTGCTTGATTGTTCGGGAAGCAGTCCTTTTCATCCCTTTTTTTTTTCCATCATCTAACTGCCACCAACTATTAGGGACGTGGGGGCGTAAAGAAGGGGATCCTATGGTGTCTACATGTCACTTTTTAGTCCTTAACTGAACTTTTACAATGTTTAAATGCTTTACTGCCCATTGTTGCAAGCTTTATAGTCCTGGGGTCTCACTTTTTGGATACAGTTACTGCAATTTAGGCTGAAGGAGTTCATGAAATTAGAGACCACCAGGTTTGGGTTGAGAATTGAGCTGTTGCGTGATTATTTGATTACCGTAGTTAATTACTGTGAATGTCGTGCTTGCCAAACTGATAGTATCAAAGTCACACAAACATTAGCACCCCGAGCTAGATAACTGTTTTTGTAAATGTCCTTATGACTTGTTCTTGTTGTTCCATGTTGCAAATGATGCTGCAATATCAAGTTCTGCAAGGCTCTTCCAATACCTTTTTTCTAGTGTTGTGGTGTTGATATTTTGGTACATCCGGCATCAACATTTTCCCCCTACCTTTTAAGTTTATTGGTTTGTCTTTTGGCAATTCCTGTAATTACTGATGAACTTGAATCCCGTGAAATAGATCCCTAGTAGCCTCGTCATATGATGCATATAAGGTTGATAGCTTTTGAAGTTAAAAATCTTCTTATTTTGTCTAACCTGGAATAATTTTTAGCCATTAAATGTTTCTGTGATCCATACATTTGATGTTAAGTTCCTTATGTTAGTGTGAGTGAATAGAGATGGGAGGGCCAGAGGGAGACTTAGTTTCAAATCTTACTGATAAAATACAGTTCATGTTCTTTTTTTCAGGGTTGTCAACTTCTCAAATTGCTAGCACTGCTTTTACTTTGGGAACAACTGCAGTTCTCCCATTTTACACCCTCATGGTTCTGGCACCTAAAGCTGAACTAGTATGTTTCTGTATTTATTTGAGTCCTCTGATTCTCATTCAATGTAGCAATTTTAGTTCATCCTGTGTAGATTAATTGTTTTAGATTGGTGTAAACTATTGAAAGCTGTTATATGAGTGCATTTGGCTATATGCATATGCTTTCTTTTTTCCAAATTGCTACACTCCCTTCCCTAAATTCCTTGTTTTCTGGTTCTTGGTTTCCGTATTAGTTAATTCAGGTTGTCAATGTATGGATGGCATAATTCGTCTCAAATTGGGTCTTTATGGCTTTTACAATATATCTCACAAAATTACATTTTCCTCATTCTCCTTGTAACTCTCATTTGAAAATCCATTTGTTTATTCTTGACTATTTTCTGAACTCAGACTGATGCACCCAATTATTTCAACTAATGTAAAATGCAGACGAAAATTTCTATGGAAAGTAGTATACCGTATATTGTCCTTGGCATTCTCTATGCTTATCTACTGTACCTCTCTTGGACTCCTGAAACACTTCAGTTGATTTTCGCAAGTAAATACTGGCTTCCTGAGGTGTGTATTAGCATGTTTACTTTTGGTAATCTTTTCTGATGGGTTTTGAAAATTTCTTATAAAAAAATTTATTTTCTGCCTATGTACTATGTGCAGCTGCCTGGTATGGTAAGGATGTTTTCCAACGAGATGACATTAGCTTCTGCTTGGATTCACTTGTTGGCTGTTGATCTCTTTGCTGCAAGGTAGTTCCCTCTCCCTCTCGTGTGTCCGCGGCTTTCTCAGTTCTAACACTCTTTGCTCATTCATCCAGGCAGGTTTTTCGCGATGGACAGGAAAACGAAATTGAGACCCGGCATTCAGTTTCTCTTTGCCTCTTTTTCTGCCCCATTGGAATTGTTACTCATGTCATTACCAAAGCACTGACTAGAAGTGCTGGAAGTTCCAGCACACGTAATATGCATTGACAACTAAAATTCTTCCTGAACAATCAGGATTTATTGGGAAGTTGAATAAGAAAACTTTGAATTTGAATGAAGGTTCTTATGTTGTCAGCAATTTACAGACATTCTCTCTTTGCAAGCACTGATCTCATAGTTTCTTCACCAGATACGTTCACAAGTCATTTATCTTTGTTATGCGGTGGATATATTATTAATTATGAAATATGTCATGAAGAGAAGTATGTTATTTAATTTAATTTATTAATTAAAAGAATACAATATCAAATTCAGGTAAACACAATATGAAACATCAAATACTTGTTGAAATATATGGATGTATGCAAAAGGAAAAAGCATAGATTAATGAAAACACCATCAAGATCAACAGCGAAAGATGGATACTAACAATATTACTACCTAATCAGCCTAAGAACATGGCTGTGGTGGCGTTGCTGTGGACCACAACCGCTCCTGTGGTGGTGGCGGCGGGGGGTTTCCATAGGTCGAGGTAAGAAATGAAGTGGAACATGAGGTTTTGGTGCCGGGGGTGGGGATCTCCCTCGGAATCTTGACACTAGTTTTAATTCATTCGTGGAAAGGCCGGAGAAACCATCAGTGGCTTAACCATGTAACTCGACTGTGACAGAAGTAGTAGTCCATAAATCAACAACAAAATTAGCAAACTTGGATTGGCATGCATTTCTGCGTAGCTTCGCTTTTTCAGTTGGAGAGCCGCAACATACTGCTGTTTTTATAGCTAGCCATTAATGATTTTGTTGGGATAAACAAGTTTTTCTTATCCGATTGAATCTTTCAAAAAATAATATATAATAACAAAAATACCACTCCTGTCTAGTGGAGACTCGTGCACAAAACTCCTAAGAAATATTGTACGAAAAATGAAGAGGCACTCTTGGAGATTGTGAACATGATAATTGCACTTGTTATCCTATATGATCATGTAAATTTTATTCATTTTTTAATATAAGCGATAGTTCAAACTAAAAAGATGTTCGAATTTCAAATAACTAGTCTGCAAGTCAATACATTTATTACAAATTTATAAATAAACTCAATCCTAGACATGTATTTATAAAAAAACCCAAGCACTATTTAAACATAGAAACACACCCAAAATCAACCCCAAAGTCAACTTTTTGGGTGTGTTTATAAATGGGTTTTGAGTGTGTGTAATGATGGGTTTTGGGTGTGTTTATAAAGTGTTTTGGGTGTTGGGTTTTTTTATAATTTCAACCTCCATTTTGGGTGTTTTAGGTTAGACCCATTGGTATATGGTCAAGTAAACTTAATTAAAATAATTGAGGCAGTGTGGAACCAAGATTTGAAAATTGAAAGTAAATACAGCTAAACCTAATACTATATCTAGAAAGAAAATTATAAATAAATAAAAAATTGATAGGGTTTTGAGTGGATGTTTAGAATTTTGGGAAATAGCCCCCAGTGCCACCCATTTTATAATCTTAACTAAAAATATCACCCCTTCCTAATTTTTGTACAACTACTACCTATAAATATAAAATTATTGTCCACTTATTGTACCCATATCAATTTTTCAAAAATTGGCTTCTCTCTCTAACTACTCCATCATTGACATCCACGAGGTACTGTTCATAAACATTTTCTTTGAAATTTGGGATTTTTGTGAATTTGGTTTATGGTGTATGGATTTGTATGAAATTGGTTTAGGGGTTTCTTCCAAATTGGTTTAGGGTTTATGGGTTTGTAGGAAATTGGTTTATGGGTTTCTCTAGAGTCTAGGGTTTGGAATTGATGAGATATCTGATATGGGCTTCAGATTTCCCTAATTCGGTTTGTAGGAAATTGGTTTAGGGGTTTCTCTAGAGTCTAGGGTTTGGAATTGATGAGATATCTGATATGGGCTTCAGATTTCCCTAATTTATTTTTCTTTATTGTGATTGTGATTTTAGGAAAGGATTGGGTGATGGGTTTTTATTTTGGGTCATCTGATATGATTTTGAGATTGGTTTCATATCTATGATTTTGGGTGGTGGTTTTAGTCGAAGAGTACCATGTG